AGCTTGAGCAAGCGGAAGTGCAGGGTCTTGATGGCGTTCTGGACGCGGCAGAAGAAACCATGCAGACAGGCGTTTAGCTATGGTGTTGTGGAACGTGTCACTGTGGAGCTTGGAGTACAGGCCGAGGAGGTACGCCTTCTGAGGTGACTGCCGGCGTGTCGGCGGGCCATCATCATCTCCAGCACGGCGTCGTGGGGGCTGCATCGCTGCTGCACCTTGACGAGCAGCATGAAGGTGCGCTGCGCAGAATGCTGCGTGCGCCCGCTGTTCACCACCAAGATCACGCAAGAGTCTCTTGAAGTGCGAGCCAGCGGTGTTGACGTGGAACTCCGGGGCGGCGGTGTCGAAGAGGCGCTGCACGATGGAGATCGGGTTGATCCAGCACGAAGCGCTCCACTGGCCAAAGATCTCGGCAACGAACCCCAGCGTGGCGATCGCATTCTCCTTCAGCTCGTGATACCATTGTGTCCATCCAGTCAGTGTCTTCGTCGCCGTGCGCCACATCGTAGCCGCCAGCGCGAGTTCAATATCTGCAGGTACTTCGGTTCGAGCCCAGCCCGCCATGCCGAAGATGTCGCTTTTGGAAAAACTGTTGGGAGCCACTCGAAGTATTTTGTGAAGAGCACGCTGTTCTTTGGCAAGAAGAGCCTCAGGAGGTTCGTAAAGTTGACCCACATATGATAGACATGTAACGGCAGCCACATTATATGTTTCGATACTGAGTTGCGAAGGCGAGAAACCCTCAGCCAGCTTGAGAACACGCCCCCACCACTTGGTCGCTGGAGCCCTCCATTGATCCTGCAGCGATGCTCCAGGTCCCACCTGAAAGCCGAGGTACTTGGCAGAAGAGGCGATAGTGAAGTTCCTCCACGGGGTGTGGATGCTTTCGAGGATGTTCTGAATGCCTACGATCAGGCTGGGCGTCGGCAGAGACCAGGTGGGAACGATGACGCACTTCTTTGGTTGGAGCTGTAATCCAGGGAGATTTTCTGCAGCGAGTAGATGAGGTAGAAGACGTTGAAGATCACGAAGACGGCGTAGTATGATACCAAGATCATCAGCACATGCACTGATAAGTCCACGACGAAGTTGGTGGAGTTCTACCGAGATGCCACGGATGAACGGGTCGAAGACCAGCGCCCATGTGGTTCCACCGAGTGGGCATCATTGAGCCACTCCAGACTCGGCAATGAGAAGGGGGCGCCGAACACCACCAATAGTGAGGAAGCACAGCGGGCTCGTGTAGCAGCACATCAAGATCTTGGCGAAGTTTCCCTGGGTGCCCCACCGCGCCAGTACTGCCCATAGCCATTGTCGGATCAGCGAGGGGAAGGCGGCCGCGATGTCCATGGACGCGAAGATGGGCATCAGAGCGCCCGCATTGGGGTCCGTGCTGGAGCGCCTCGCTTGCATGTCAACCTGCGCGACATTGTGCAGGAATTGGCGGCCTCGAACAAATCCCTTCTGCTCCTCTGACGTGTCCTTCGCGAGGTGCGGGAGAGTGATGTTGGCTGCTGAAGCGATGAGTTTCACGTCCGTGTTTTTCATGCTGAGGGGCCGTAACGTGCTCGGCGTTCGCGTGCACTCGCAGTTCCCCAGCGGCTCGTCTCCCTTGGGCAGCATGGCCGTCAGCGCGTGGTTCAGGTCGTGCGGTGCCCCGTAGTCTGTCATGTGGGAGACGAGGCTGGCCAAGATGGGAAGAGCTCCAGGCGATCGAAGCCAAGCACGGTAGGGTAGCCCGTCTGGTCCAGGCGCGGAATCGCCAGCTTGTTTAGCAACTTGTCACAGCTCTTCTTCACCTGGTACAGCATATTCTAGTGCGGGACGCTGAGGAAAGACACGGTCGAGGCACTCTTGAACGTCTTGGTCTGAGGTCGTGCGGGCGGCAAAGATCGGGCTCCAATGGCTCGTGATGGCCGTGTGCATCTGGCTCGGCTCGTAAACCGTGCCCCCCGTCGTGATTTTGATGCCAGCTAGGAGGAGGCGTCTCGAGAAGGGCCGCCATAGTTCACCTTTACCAGCATGCAGACGGGCACGATGTCGCCATTGGTCTCCAAGCTGTACATTCTGTTTCGCGTAGTCATCTTGGGCTTTGGCAGCAGCGCGGACACGCCGTTCTTCAGCAAGTGAGGAATGTGTGTCGAGGGTCTCGTTGGTGTAGTCGATCGGTTGGTTGAGCTTGACGCTGCCACCGTCAATCTGGAGGTACTTGCGGCCGATCTCGGTGTTATCGATGGGCGTGGAGGCAAGGTCTTTGCTCTGGTTCCAGACAGCGCGGGCGATGCTCCTCAGGGTCATGCCGCGGATCTCCTTGCTGACGTCCGAGTTCTGCGAGTCGAGTTCGGCCGTGGGAATCTTCGTGAGCGTGTTCCTGGTCAGGCGGGCGGCCTCGTGCATCAACGATTTCTGGTGTCGCCATTGATGAACTGGATCATAATGAGATATATCATGTCGAGCGGATAGTTTCGCATAGTGATGAGCGTAATGTGGAGAATCAAACAGAAAAACCAGAACAGGTTGATCTTGCACGGGTTTGCTGTGAGCAGGGCGAACGGAGTTTCATAATCTTGTGGTCGCTAATCATGCCAGTTGGGTTTTCGAGCGGAGAATCAATCACCAGCCTTGAGTTCAATGTCCATGAAGGGGATGTCGTGCGAGGCCAGGGAGACGAAGCAGCGGTCGATGGTGCTCTCCGTGTGGTTGGCAACCGCGCGGTGCGTGGTGGCCATCGCGGTTATCTCGAGCATGCCCTTGAAGAGGTTATTCCAGAAGAGCGGCTGGCACTGGTACCTGTTCGCCTCGACCGCGGTGGAGTCGATCGGAGACGATAAACTCCTCGGTGGATGCGCCGAGATATTGAAGTCGCCGAGCATGATGAATGTCCTCCTGTGTGGATCAGCTGCCGCGCGATCACGTTGTAGCTGCCAGTGTTCACGAATAGCAGCTCGATCACTCGGCGACAGGTCGTAGTTGTGAATGTTGAAGATCACAGTCTCATATTGACGCGACGAATCCCGTATGCTGAGCGAAGCAGCTCTTCCAGGAACGACTTCAGCAAAAATATGCCGAGGGCATTCGTCGGGTGGGCGGCTCTGCTCGACCTGGTCGCACGGCACGAGAAAGCCAATGCCGCCCGCCGTCGTGTAGTTCGGGATGCTGGAGCGATAGGCTCGATATCGATGAAGAGTCGAGCGCGCCAGCATGTCCATGTCGAAGCTCGAGCCGCGTGTCTCTTGCAGCGCAATCAGAGCTCGCTGTCGCATGAGAGGTAGCAGAAGAGATCGTTTAGCAGCACGCCGTTGGTCAGAGGATCCATGAAGAGCCTGAGTATTCCAGTAGGCGATCTGCATGCCGTGGTCCGTCTGCTTGCGTAACCACGGCGCCCAGCGTGGGCTAAAGCCACTGCGCCGCCGAGAGTGCATCAGAGAAGCTGTTCTCGAAGGCCGTGCGGATGTTCTTCTGGTGGTCGTCATCAATGCCGGCGCGGACCGCGGCAG